TTTTGAAGAAAACGACATCCTCCGAGTATTTCGTATTTTTCGACCGGAAGGAAGCATTGACTAAGGCTAAAAAGTAGATTTTCGTGATCAGCAGCTCAAGCTCTATCAGGTGATGCAGAAACAAAGCCGAAAAGAATTTTTACTTGAAGTTTGAACTGCCCGCATCTTAGATTATCAGCAGAAATACAGGTGAACTTGAACATTAATTGTTCATCGAACGTGTCGATCGATAAACCAGTTGTTTGTAATGCATTTAATCATCACTGGTTTATAAAATCGTTTAACGTATTGTTTATCTTGTGATTGCTCTTGATAACAGCTAACAGTGTTATACATTGTAACATTGAACGAAACATATCCGGCATATCTTCTAATAAATAATAAAAGAATGTAAGTTTGTGTTAATCCTTTTTTGGACCGATTGGATTTGTCAAACTAACACCGTCGGTATACAATTGTAATAAAAAAGAATTAGTATTTACATTTTGACCGTACGCCGCTTCACGACTGAATACAAAAAAACTACTTAGCATACGCGGAGAAAGGAAAAACGAAACCTTACTATGAAAACATTAAATCCTTATCTTTGGTTGCTTGTTGTTGCTGTTGTTTAATATTTTCAACTAATAATGATATCATTTCATCTTTACATAAAATACGAAATAAAGATTCATGTATTGGTACATAATAAGCAAAAGCTTGTTTACTCCGTTTTACTGTTGTTATTTGTGAAGATCTTGATAATACAATTTCTTCTGGTGGAAGATAACCAAAAAATCTTCCACATGATTTAATAAATTGATATTCCATTTTTGTTGTACGTTCCACAACTTCATTGACTTCATTAATAACAGAGCATACATTTTCAACACTAATATTTCGAACTGTATCCATTGTTGTTTGACTATTATTGTTATTATTGTGTGTTCTTGTTGTTTTGTTTCCGTTGTTGCTCGCTTTTTGAATTATTAATTTTGTAATAATATTTAATATATGAACATCCAGTGTCTGACAATTTGTTTCGTTGGGACAATGCTGGATTTTCCATAGCTGGGCGAATTTCGGTCAGATAGAAATTTTCACTTGGTCTAGTATTCTATTCGGCAGTTAGAACTGTATGATACTAAGTAGAATAGAAGAAGATTTTAGGCCATATTAGTAGTGCATAATTTGCATTACTTCATTATGTTAAGAATTAAATTGTTGGATAGAAATGATTAGAATAGTAAAAGACTACAGTAGTAGAATATTAGAATACTAGAATAGTAGACGACTAGAACAGTGGAATGTTAGAATTAGGGATGCAACGGTAACGGTTGACAACCGGTCAACCGCTACCGGTTCTAACCGGTTACCGTTATCGGTCCAACCGGTTCTGACCGGTTACCGTTACCGATCCAACCGGTTTAACGGTTACCGGTTCTGACCGATTACCGCTATGGATCTAACCGGTTAACTAACTGAATAGAGTGATAACGGGAATAAGAAAACAAAGTAGAAAAGAGAAAAGAAAAGAAAATCGCTATTTGTGTCGCAGCTCTAATAGTCCATCTATTTTCTCTCTTGCTCGTGCTAGATATAATCTATTTTTAAACAAGCATTCACATGTGAGTTCTTAAGCTAGTTTGAGTTACACTGATTGTTCCATGTTAAAAAGTGTTTTTCTTCAACGTTATATTGATTAACAGAGAACTGTGATTAAAGAAACATTTATTTTGTGTTTTGAATTATGTAGCAAATATTCCATTTGTTTTTCAAGTTTATTGCTACCGGTAACGGTAACCGGTAAGAATCGGTTGGACCGGTAACGGTAACAGGTAAGGTGCGGTTGGACCGGTAACGGTAATCGGTAAGGTGCGGTTACCGTTGCATCCCTAGTTAGAATAGTAGAAGAGTAGGATAAAAGAATAGTACAGCAGTGCTGTTCAGGGGTACAGCCTACACTACCACAGGTACACATACTTGTTATATATCAAAGAAAAGATTATTCTAAATGGAATTCAATGGCATAGTGCTTTGTAACACAGAAAGTGAAAATCCTTTTTAGAAGATAGGATTTCGAAAAGCCCTTATGAAAATCCGTCTGGATTTCAAAATTTGAATTAGTAACGGATTTCCCTTTTTACACGGATAAATCGTCGCCAGTGTCTTCTAAAAAACGGAAGAGTCTGAAGTCTTCTTTGGACTTGCATGTCGTGTCTAATGAGGCTTACTGGGAGGGCTAGAACTGCTCTCCTCCGACTCCTGATAATCCTGACGCCAACTTGATTCTCTACTTAAGGTTGGTATAAAACCTTCGCTACTTCCAAGCATTTCCACAAAGGCTTTTCAAATTGCCAATTTTTATTGATTTTTAAAGCTTCATTGAATTCAAGGGTATAAGGTAAAAAAACTGAGTGTATCTTCATGGTTTGGAGTAGTCCGCATCGATTTCGACCGAGTTATTAACTTTTAGTTTATGGGATTATAAGGAGCCAGAGGAGAGCAGTCTTGGCGCTCCCAGGATGCCATGCTACAACGTTACATGAAGACTCCGAATGGTTTCCGGTTTTGAGAGGACACTGGAGAGTATTTATGCATACAAAAAAACAATACGTTGCTATTTCAAATAATGAAATCCGGACGATTTTTCCTAAGACCTTTACAAAATCATATCTTCTTCGTAGAACAGTAACTGTGCGAAGAGTTTAAAAGCAGATACCGAATCAGTAATATCCTCAAGTATGCTGCTTGTCCAATGCTAAGAAGTATAGAAAAGTTATAGAAGTTATCATACGTTACACTATACAAAAGCCATTTGTTTCTTACCAGCCAATCGTAACGTCGTTGTAGATACAGATAAAATACATAGTAATCACAGTTCAGCGCCGACAACGTGCTCTCACAATATCCTGCTACTATTCCTATTTTTCGCACAGCTGAGCGCTAATATTCTCCTATTGTGCTATTCTCTTATTCTCCTTATCTTATTCTAGTATTCTACTATTCTAGTATTCTGGTATTCTAGTATTGTTCTATTCTCCTGTTCTTGTATATCTCTGTTCTAGTGTTGTTCTGTTGTGCTATTGTTTTATTGCGCTATGGGCGTAAGGTTGATGAATGCATTTAATGCATAATTAATGCATGATTAATAGGTTCAAGTGTAGGATTTTTTCCCCCTTAGAATAGTAGAATAGTAGGACAAGCGATAATTTCTAAGTCTAGGAAATTCGCCCAGCCCTCATGTATTCTGGATATCTGGATGAGCGGACTTTTGAAATTTTGAACCCTCGATTTTCAAATCCCCAAACACTGTTTTTATTGATTGACTTTTTCGTAAATTTTCATTTAAAAATCGATCTCAAAAACTCCGATCATCTGATATATAATTTGATTCTGAACAACATTTGTAACGAAACTTTTGTTCCAATATGCTTAAGATCCCGCCAGTCAAAGAGCTATTTTCGTCCAGGAACATTTAATCTTGGCGAAAATTTCAAACAACGTGTACCTTGAGGTAATTTAGTCATTCTAGTAATTGCACCCTTTTATCAGTTTTTTTCTCAGAGTTTTTGGCTTTCAAAAATACTATCGGGTGGCCCAGATAAAATCGGACACTTTCATTCGTTGTTCATGAGGCATTGTCCGGTAGTCTACAGAGTTGGTTCCAAGCTCAATCGATAGAGAATTTAATTCTCTACAAAACTTGCTATTTGAATCTCTGATAACAGTTTTGTCGTTTGTGCACTATTCATAATATTGAAGAGTGCTGAGTTGCCTAACTACGACACACTGAAAATAGAAAAATATTAGTCTTGATCCAAAAACAGATTTCATAAGAATTTTGAAAACACCAGAAGATTTACCGGAAAATTTTTGCATCTTCTCACATATTTTTCGAAATTTTACAGTTAAGTCTTCAAAGAAAATTTGTCTGTGCAAAAAAACTGACAAATCCAATAAAACCTAAGTTTTGAACCTATTTTCCACAGAATTTAGTTTTTGGCCCACAAAAGCAGTAAAGTGTTGTGAATCCAAGGCTTTAGTCTTATTTTCTTACGCAGACTTAAATTCGGCATCGTTTCATATTTAAACAAAGTTTCTCAATTGAAACCATTAATTAAAAAACTTAATCTAATTTGAAAAAATTGAAAAATCGGTTGAGAGCTAATTATAAGTTTAGCTGGCGTAGCAGAAACATTGTATGAAGTTGTAAAGAATTGAGATCGATAGAGCACAAAATTCTCTATCTATCTACGTAGATAAATTAACTATTGAACCCCAAATAATGGGCTAAACATCTCAAAAAAGGAGACGACAAAAGCTTATCGCAGTCGGGCAACTCCGCACTCATCAATATTGAATAGTGCACAAACGACAAAACTGTTATCAGAGATTCAAATAGCAAGTTTTGTAGAGAATTAAATTCTCTAGCGATTGAGCTTGGAACCAACTCTGTAGACTGCCGGACAATGCCTCATGAACAACGAATGAAAGTGTCCGATTTTATCTGGGCCAATACTTGGTTCTCATTCAACAGACAACTTTTTTTTAAAACTTCGATATGGAAAAATAACCTTTTCACATAATCTTTTGTACTTTTACACCGCTAACCAAAAGAAGTATTTTTATGAGAACTGTTTGAATGCTACGCATATAGTAAAAATTTCATCCACAGCGGGCGCATGATTAGGAGGAGCAAACAGCTTTCCCATCGTCGAAAATTTCGCACATCTGTAGAGCTGAGGTCATGCGTTATGCAAAGTTTGACCTAAAAAACTATTTTCTAAGTCATCATTTTTAGAATTACTACAAGTTGTTCTTCGGAACACCAGAATGACAGCAGAATATGCCTAAGAGATCCTGCATTAACAACGCATGACATGTTCGAAAATGTCTTCCGTGAAAGCTCTTTTACTTGGTTTTCAATACAAGATTAGATAGAAGAACTTTTTTCCGATAATTATTTCTTATCTTTTATACTTTATCGGAAAGCATTTTAGTCTTTTCAAGAAGTGTGAGAAATATATTAAATTTACCCTTTTAAACTCTTTCTTCATTGTATAATGCTAATTTGATCTCAAAATCCATCATTGTTCCAACGAAACACGTTGTCAATTATCTTCGCCTCTGACTTGGACTAACCGTGATTCATTTTATTTCCTCGTAAAAGAGAAAATTTAGTACAATGAATTTTGTAGATTTTGGCTCTCGAGTGTTCTACTACTTAAACAATGTCGAGCATTTTTTCTCAGAATCAGAAAGACTAGACAAAGTTTGTACATATTTTGCAGTTTTTTTATTAACAAGAATGCTTTCTTATATAACTATATATATATATTAAGTAGAATCACAAAGCTACCATTATAGTTTGAAAATGTAATACTTTATTGATAGAAAAAGGTTCTTTTTTCAAATTTTCTTTGTTAGCATATTTTATTACCTGTCTGTCGTGTATATATACTATTTACTTGCACATGAATAGAAATACTTTTGGTCTATTGCTTAACGAAAAACGTTAAAAGTAAATAGAAACCGAAAAGAAGAACGATAAAAATCGTGTCTTGTAAGTAACAGAAAGTATACAGGCGTTGCTGTCACCATAATCCACTGTCGTCATAATTAAGTATATAACTTATATTCACACTCTACACACAAGAATGGCTGCTGTGAATTCAGCTATAAATGAGCCATGTAAATTATGTGAGAAAGGGAAATATAAATGTCAAGGTTGCCATCTATCCTGTTGTAAACGACATTTCGACGAACATAGACAACAGTTGGCACGTCAATTTGACAAAGTCATTTATGAACATGATGTTCTACATGAATTGCTCAAATCGAAAGGGCCGATCGATAACGACAAAACTGAAGATGATTTCCTGCAAAAAATCGACAATTGGGAAGTCGAAACAATACAAAAAGTAGAATATGCAGCTCGACGGGCTCGAGAACAAATGAAACAACTAATGAACCATCCAAGGGAACGAATCCAGAAAGAATTCTGTTTGATTACAAATGAATTGAAACAGAGTAGACAAGATGACGACTACTTGGAACCAGATTTCGAACGGTGGTATCAGCAATTGCAAGATTTGAAAGAACAGCTCCAGCCCACAAGTGGTAAAATTCAGATAAACACGCAAAAGAGTGACGAAATAGATTGGCCAACATTGATTAAAGTAGATACAATAAATGGATCTGTTGGAGCAACTGGGCAGAAGGCTTCAGACATAAACGTACGTATGCGTTGCATTGATTTGTATCAAATAAAGCAGGACACATCACAAGCTAAACGGACAATAGAATTAAAATGATTTTTTTTTTCGAAAAGTGCGATCAGATAGGTGTGGGTCGGTTTGGGTTAGTGATGTTTCGGTTAAACCGAAGCTGAAATCGGTTATGTCGGTTTTGGTTACGCCCGATGATCGGTTTGCGTTTTATGACAGAAACCGATGCATATCTACTACCAGGATGGAACAACCCTCTATAACCAGGGCGTGAAATGCATCTGAGCTATGATAAAATCTTTTTCGTCTTTCAACCGTTTACCGAGATACATGACGGTACAAATCGAATCGGATTTCATTTGTTTTCTCAAATGTTCATCCGAAGTTCCACAGTTCGAAATCGCTTTTTCATTGAAATACACATGACTACAGGTAATCGATGATGCTAATTCCGAATGTCATGGTGGCTTGGACTCTTACGGTTTCCGAGAGCTGGTTTTATACTAAACTTGGTTTTTCATGCAAAACCGTTTTTGAATTAAAATGGGTTTCAGATCTCGTCAGTTTGTGGAGCATGTCGACATACCTTCATAGAAAACGTTTCAGCTTTATCTCGAACTACAAAATTGCTCGAACTACAAATTTTTTAATTCTTCTTTTTGGTTAATAAATTTATAACTCAGCCTACTTTAGTCCAATAGAACTAAAACATTTTTATGTAGCTACAGAAAACGTCTAAAAGTAATAAAACAAACTCTAACCTTTAGATACTAAAAATCATCCTATTTTCTTCACATTTTGTTGTTCTGTCGGCTCATCCGTGAGTAAAAGTTCGGACAAAAGTAATCGGTATCCTACAAAGTCGGTATTTTTGCGGATCCTTGTATAACAGCTCATAGCTCCATTTCGATTTCTGTGAAAGATCCAATAAGTGCTACTAAAACAGAATATAGACGTTTTACCGTATTAATCTATCGCGAAAGACATTGTACTATGCAACGGAAGTCATTAGTAATGCAAACTCATCCCTATGTTTAGAAATCCACTTCTGACTACATCCATAAAGAGCAATCTATTGCATCCAAAAGCGGAATCTACACGAATGCCACACAACCAGAAGTTCGACCGTTATTCAAAGGTGGAAAGTTACTGAATTCAGGACAATGCCAACTGAAACTCATCGAATTGTATGGGAAATCAAATCAGCAATGGGACTTGATTTACCAAGCTACAGAACACGGCTTCACTAGCAAACATTTTCATCAAAGGTGCGATCATAACGGATCCACAATGACTATCATTCAGTCCCTAGAAAACAGCTATCTGTTCGGTGCATACACATCCGTTCCGTGGACCAGCAACACGACTCCCGCAAAGGATCCAGAATCATTCTTGTTCACAATAACAAACCCTTCCAATACCCCAATCACAAAATTTAAGATAAACGAGCAATACACCCAATACGCCATATATCATCATCCTAAATGCGGACCAATCTTCGGTCGTATGAAAAAATCACATGCACCGCCACCACTTTCCTCACATTATCTCTTCGTCACAATCGATTCCTTCTTCTCCTCGCTTCTTCTATTCATCAGAAAGTGGCCTCACTTTCCCCCGACGAGAATACACGAACAACTACTTCGTATCACAAATTCACATGCATCGCCACCACTTCCCTCACATTATCTCTTCGTCACAATCGATTCCTTCTTCTCCTCACTTCTTCCATCCACCAGGAAGTGGCGTCACTTTCCCTCAACGAGAATACACGAACAACTGCTTCGTATGACAAATTCACATGCATCGCCACCACTTTCCTCACATTATCTCTTCGTCAAAATCGATTCCTTCTTCTCCTCGCTTCTTCTGTTCATCAGAAAGTGGCGTCACTTTCCCTCGACGAGAATACACGAACTATGTTTTGATTATGGGACAAATTCACATGCATCGCCACCACTTTCCTCACATTATCTCTTCGTCACAATCGATTCCTTCTTCTCCTCGCTTCTTCTATTCATCAGAGAGTGGCGTGACTTATCGTGTGTTGCCGTA